TGCGGTGTACGTCGACCAGTGTCATGCGCCGCACGCCTTGTTCTTGTGGACTGGGCCACCTCTAATGGTGCGGCCCATGTCTTGTCGTGTGGATACCGAGGGTCATACCCCCACAATAGGGCATGTGTTCGGGGGTTTTCTCGACCTGCGTGAGAATGTCTTGTTAGCAAAATGCCTGGGGGCTGTCTTACCCTCCTGTAGGCAGAGTTTTCTTTTTTCAAACATTTTATTGATTTCTAAAGTTGAGTTGCAACTTACAAATAGAAGATTGACAGTAGTAGACTGTAGAACTGAATTGTAATCAAACTATTTGAAGTCACTGGTCTATTGGCCCTTGTATTTAGTGTTGCATTGCGCAGTTTAACTGTACAAGAAGCACCGTGTAAGCTTCTTGCCCTTTATTGGTGAGATTGGAATAGGATATTCGACTGGAAATGGACTTTTAGCCACATGATTATCAGAGTGCTTGGAATTGAACAATCAGGATCCATTTCCAAGCAGGAACATCATATTACTTGCCAGTTCCATCAAACTAAGGAGCCCCTACAGCTTTGAATGATGATGAATAAGTTCAGTATTTAACACTGGCATTGTCTCTTCCATCGGCCTCAATATCTGCCTTGATATAGTCATTGTGCATTGCAAATTCATTGAACATTGTGCTGAATAAATCAAGGAAATTAGGAAGTGATTTATGTATGATGTTTGCAACATTCTGGTCAAACTCCGGATATATTCAAGGATATTTGACATGCTGCCTGTGAATTCTTGTGACCAACTGGTTCCTACTGAAAGCTGAAATTTTCTACAATTAGTTTTGCTGCTTTGTCCTGCAGTTGAGTGTTCAGTACACTGTTAAAAAATGTGTAGTGTTTGCGTGAACAATCATGTAGTATATAAATAAAAAACATATTAAAAGATTGGAACCCTAAAAGATTATGGGAAAAGAGGGTGAACTGTCAGCTTTTCTTAACAGTGTCATGCATATATGTGAAGATTGTATAGACGAGAGCAAATGATTTTGTTGAGATATGTTGCACCTTGTGTTGCATCGTCAATTAATCATTAGGAGTTTGCGCTGTGGTTCAAAAAAAAAAAAAAAAAAATCCACTTTTGGTTTTTCTTAAAGGATCATTCTGGGTGCTCTTGTTTCCTATGCTATTGCTTTGCTGTTTGAAGAAGTAAACTAAGCCATCAGGAAACTCGACAAATTTGAGATTTGAGTTAGGGGAATGCCTCTGCTTTTGTAGGTTATATATTCATGGCATAATATATGGTTTACTTCTTTGAAACTTTCATATTGTAACTAGTTTATGTGCACATGCAAATTTCACTTATTTCTAAGGTAGTTTAGCATACTGTATACCATCTATTTTTATTATAAATAAACTCAAGTCTTATCTTACAACTATGGTACACATGTAATCTAGAATTTTGTAGGATGTGTTCTTGATTATTGTTTCCTTTTTTACCTTGTAGAAGTGAACATCAGGCAAAACACCACTCTTGTCATGCACTCATGCTAATATTTTTCTTACACTTATAGATAATTATAATTAATTAGTATAAAAATTTGTAAACTAGTAGGAACCAAGTGGAGACCAACCAGTCAACCTTTGCATCAATCCATAGTTGATTTACGATAGTTTTTACTAGTTTGGCTGGTTACCCAAGCTGAAAGTCTATATACATATAGATGTCTATGCATAGGAAGTTAGCAACAATGTGACAGGGCTGATTAAAACAAGCTTATAGATTAGGGAGGATGTGCTATTCACCATTGGACTAAGACACCACAAAACAAACCACTAAGCTGCTTTCTGGGCATCTGTTCCATTTCTTTCTTTTTGTTATTTTGTACACAATGAAATGAAAAATGTGTTAGTTACTGAATATAACATATAATGGTTGTTTTGTATTTTCTTTTGTTCAAGTTTAAATAGGTACCTTAATGACATAAAGTCGGCGTTGGTTAGCCATGACTAGGATTCCTGGAACGAGAGCCATTCATCTTTTTGCCTCTCTTCTTTTTGTATCATTTTTAATGTAATCATTTCTATTGTATCAGTTAAGCATAAGTAGTTCCACCAAATTGTGGGTTCAGCAAATCTGTTATTCTAGGTTTTGATTTTTGAAACATATTTCTCTTTTTGCTTGACAACTGTAGAATTCCTGGCATGGTTCTTTTATTTATTGTACAATAGAGGCAGTTGTTTGTCTATTCTATGTACTTGTTGATCAAGAATGCAGAAATGAAATGCAGTGTCCATTTGCATTTCCTGCATCAATTGATTAAAAGTCTGGAGATTATGTTTTGCAGTTGATTATGTTTAACATTCTGGCAATATGTCAATCCTTTTAACACGTTTGATATAACTTGTAAATATCCTTTAAACATAAAAATATCAATCAGTTGCGATTTTAATGGGAATTTTGCTGTGGCTAGCTATTATTATACCTGGCAAAAACTGAACTAATTTTGAATGATACACAAGGAAGCTTGGTGCTGGATCTTTGTTTCTCTTGAAAAGACTTGAGGTATCTTGCTCAGCTTGTGTTCTAGAAATTAGACAAGATGTAGATTTTAAATTAGACAAGCAGTATCTACATGCATAGAGCATTTGGTCGGTGCGAATTTCATTATGCTGTATGCAAGATCTTCAAGCGAGGGTAAGGCTTGCCACTGACACCCTTCCCCAGACCCCGCACAGAGCGGGAGCTCTCTGCACTGGGTACGCCCTGTATACAAGACCTGCTTTTTACTCATGAGCTGTAGTCCATTCTGAACATGAACTTTTCCTAGGCAGCACCTTTTTTTTCCTGGTATCGGAGCGAGCTATATATATGTTTTTTTTGTTTCTTTATTTAAAAAATGAATTTATTTTGTGTTTAACATAGTTTGAGGACAAAAATCAAACTTTGAAGCTCTAACAATGATGGCTCCTTTTGCAGGTATCACTTCCTAGGGAGAGTATATTACTATATATTCATATATGACTTGGGATAGATGAAACACCCATTCAGTCAGGCATCCAGGTTCCAGGTGCATGACACTGTGAATCGGTGATTGTCAGGTTAGTTTTGTCTAGCTAACCAGTGGTGTGGTTTACAACACCAACATGCTAGAGGAGGAGCGGATACAGAAACATTTTCTGAAGGGCTTTTTTTTTTTGTCATGTTTTAGTTTTGATTCCCGCGCGTGGCTAGGCCTTTTGGTTTTTGAATGAGATGTGCAGTGGTGATTATTGCGGCGCATATTTAGAAATCGTGTTCCAACATAAGCTGGAAAAGTGTCTGTATACGGATAAACATGTATACCAACCAAAGGGATGCTGTATTATCTTGCCCATTTGTTACTACATTAGTCTGTGTTTTCTATCGCTTTGAACCATTCGTCTTGCACTCTGGAGATTTTGTTGTTTTGCTCATGAATTATGCATGCAGTGTAGTGGTTTTCTCCCCTTTCCGCGGCTTGTTACACTTGTGCCTTTCTTGTTTTTTTTTTTCTGTAGATAATTGGATCCGATTATTTGCCATTTGTACATCATTGTTGCTCCAAAACAATGCTGTAACATTCGACACTAAAGTTAAATTCAGCTTCTCATCAAGCACACCATAGTTTGCAAAATAGATGGGTCGTCATAGGTTTAGTTAGCATATGGGCGTGTACCATGTGGATGTGGACTGCGGCATCCGTGTGACTTAGAGCAGCCAAAGGACTTCTCTATTTTTGTCTTGATCTTGTGTGCCTTGCTGAACATGATTTGCTTTCTCATCATTTGAGTCTGCTATCTTTATACATAAACACGCAATGCGTTCTGTAAGTTTCAACCCGAGTGTGTAGGCTGAAGTGCTGAACTCAGGACGATCATATCGTAGTAATTGTGTTTCTGAACTTGCTGGGCTCTATAATTGTTTGATTCCTCAAACCAAACATCCTCGAAGGCTAGAACATGCTATTTGCAATCCCAGGTTCTAGTGCTGAACATGCTATTACCCATGATCCAGAACGTAAGGCAAAGATTGCCTAGACCTTGCTCAACCATGGAGTCTCTCTTAACCTAATGAGCCGGATGTCTCATTAGCCTGTTTATTATTACCGTGCTCTGTCAACCCGGGGCTACAAGACCTTAAGATGATGTTGACCCTTTCCTTGTCACTGTCACTTCCTATTTCTGCCATGAGCCGGACGTTGCTTTGTTGGGCTGGCGACGGGCTTTGGCATGGAAACAGAATGAGAACGGGTCGAAAAGAAATTGGAGAAAAAGAAAAATGAAGTGGAGAGTTGGCATGGATTTGAGCCCAAAACAAAGTTGATCATTTTTTAGTTTTATAAATCTTTTTCAAATACTAGTTTCAATAACCATTTAAAATACATGTGTTTCAAATACTTTTGGAACAGATTTGTCAACTTAAAATTAAACTAGTTTTAAAAAACATAAATTTCAAATAATTTTAACTATATTGTGAAACACTTTTGAAGCTAAATTTTAAACTAAGTTTACCCTTCTTTTGAAAGCATATTTTTAAAACTTCATTTTTGAAGAGAAAAACCTATTCAAGGTTTAATAGGTTTTTAGTTAAAAAAGGCTTAATAAGATTTTGAAGTTCATTTTCTAGACAATAAATTAATGCACAAGCTGAAATGCAACAAAAAAAATCAAGTTTCTATTTTTTTTTTAGAAAATCACATTTTTCATTATCAAATGGAGAACAGATTAAACAAAGATGGGAGAATTTTAGAGAAATAATAAAATTATTTATTTTATTTACTGTTTTTATTCACATCCCAAAATAGAAATTTTGGGTGTGACATTTTTTCAACTTTCTGCACACCACCGGCTCCATGGATACTGCACCGTATCATTCACTTCACTCGTTGACACTTGGTCAATAGGCCCTCATCATCAGATGATCTGCTAGCTTGTCCTAGTGCTACTAGTTTATCATTTGGTGGAACTATTTTGGGTTATGGAGGGGAGGGTCCAACCATGCCACAGTTATGAGCATTGTTCCACTCGTGTCTCGAACACATACTTTTCTTCCTTGCCATTGATGTTAAGATTGATCTCTCTAGCTCCCACATCTATGTTTGCATTCACGGTGCTCAAAGACAGCCTCCTAAAGTTAATGAGTAAACAGAAAATCGATCCATTATATTCTAAAAGTTACGGATAGATGATCACACAATTCTACATAAGTCTGAAGTGCACAAACACTGTCAAACAACAGCAGCAATCTACGTTCTGCTGTCAACCTGCAACCAATCAGCAGCTACATTTGTCTCATCCTGCCCACTGCCCCAGCTAGATACGCTATATATGTACTAGATACATGTGAAAGTTGATGGACACAATTTTGCACCATGCATTAGGACTTCTCGATCCTTGAGGGCCACCATTCTTGCAACTTTGATCTCAGCCCTAATCTCTGAGGTTCACAAGATAAATGCACAGTTGATATGAGCTATTAGAACAGGAAAACAAGGATGTGATTTTGATAAGATATGACCCTAACATGGATTAACAGAGGTACATAAGCAATGTTAAAGGCTTCCCTCACTAAATCTTTATATATTAATTCTGCAAATTGCTTCGCTAGCAATCCAGTTACTGCTATCATGACATTTTCTAGCCTTCAAATTTGATTTGGAGGACTATTTGTGGAACTTTGGCTGTGAAACCCCTAGAGTGTATGATCAAACATGAGGTGTACCAACCTAAACAAATTGATGCGAAACCAGAAAAAGGTATATACAACTAACCAACTTCACTTCTTTTATGCATGGTTTGGACCTTTACATTCAGATGAAGCCCCAAAGCTCAACTGTTGTTCTTACGGAAATAAAGATAATATGGATTGTCATGTTAAGTGGATATGCTAATGTCGGTTAAAAACTTGTTACAGTAAAAGAAATACAGACTAGTCACGACAATTATGTCCGCAATACCAAATTAAATAAAGAAGAGCGAGGTCAGTCAGAATCATTACCAGTTAGGGCACACATCCCATCTACTTGGTCGCTTCCTCTTAGGAGGCAACGTTTCCACAGGATTTGGTACATCCTTTTTTGGAAAAATTATAGGCCTTGCTACATCAGAAAGCATTTCTCCATCCTCTGGTTCACTCTCAGTGTCAGACTCTTCACTAATCCATCCATAGCAGGGAGGCCTTGCACGAGGAGGCCCTTTGGCTGGAGGCAGTGGCAGCACATATTCCAGGGGAGGTGAACTGTTGGGAGAAGCTTGCCGTTCAAAGGCTGACTGAGATTCATTCGATGCCTCACCATCCACACATGAAACTTCCATACCATTTTGTGGTGATGCCTCTTCTGCAGCTGCTGCTTCTTGTTTCTGCATAACGAAAACATATCCATATGAAATTCTGACTGGATGGCAAAACAAATTCCAGGAAGTAATTTGCTAAAATGAGCGACTTTTATTGACAATTTCTTGATGACTAGCAGAAATTTTGATCATAATGCTGTATGTTTCATTGTGAGTTTTGATAGTAATTATAAGCAGGTTTGCAAATACTGACAGAGCTGAGAGCTTGACATGGATGTATGTCCATAAATATGCGAATTTAGAATATCATCAAGTTGCTGCTTAAAAAATATTGTCCTAAGGTGCCTGTGTTACTTGGATCGTAGGCCAGTGAAAATGCTTATAGATTTCAATATCCCAAAGGAATGTATGCAGCACATATATGTATTTATGGATCAATGTTACAACTCTACATTCTAGCATAAGAGGCTATGCACAACTAAGATGTAAAATTCAGGCAAACAGAACCCAACTAAGCAATGAAAATCAAGAATAGTGACAACAAAGTGCCACAGACAGGCGAGGAAGAAAGGGAATTCACCTGATCCTGATGCGCCTGTTCTTCCAGGAGTCTGTCAAGCACGACACGGTATGAATCCTCCTCCAGTAAAAACCACCCATCTTTCCCGTACAGCTGTGTCATCGAGTATCATGGACAAAGCAGTTAGTATTCCTTATTCTTCAGTCAAACATTTGTTGCATTTGTCAGAAAAGAAAAGGAATTCCTCAATCAAATACCGAGCCACTCTTTTAAAATTTGAACAATCAATGGATCAGCTCTTTAATCATGAAAAAACTGTCAGGTTTGCTACATTCCCCGCCCGAAAAATAAAGGGGAAAAATAAAATAAAATTGTGACACCACCGAGAATGCACCCACCTCTCTCTCCCAGGACAAAATCAAGGTGGTTTCTTTGCTAGGAACATCCTGTAGCACGCCTGTCTAAATTTTAGGTGCACTTGGATGTTCTCCAATCTCCACTGAACTAGATGATCCAGCAGCCCAACGAGAAACCCCCCCCCAAAAAATCTTGCCGTCTCCCCGTTGTTTCTTGAAGCAGGGAAAGGCGCCACCTTTTCTACTCCCCCATCACAAGAATGTCAACCGCGTCCATCCACAGCGAAATAGCAACAATCTAGGACGAACTATATAGCAATTTTGGGAGAGATAAAGAAAAAGCGGAATGTTCTTTTCCATCACCTAGAGGAGGAACATGGACAGAAGAATACTCTACAGGTACCCTAGTACCTTACGCTACTCGATGGCAAGATGCCAATTGCCAAGAAAGATTTCTGAGAAAGGGGAGCAACAGCTACCTTGAGGAGTTCGTTGATGATCTTGCGGATTCGGGGCTTGGAGAAACCGTACGGGACGAGGTGGTCAATGGCGGCGTCAATCCGCCGATCTCCTCTCTTGGTCCTCGGCCACCCCATCGCCTCAGCTGCTGCGGTCCCCTCCTGATGGCTGAGGGAGTGAATCTTGAATGCTCCGCGCTCTGATTGAACGTAGAGGCGCGAGACGGAAGCACGACGGGAAAGCAGGCTCTATAGGGTTGCGTTGGTTTGGGGATCGAGGTCTCGGTCCTTTTTAATTGTCGCTTGGTTCCTGTGTCAGCCCGTGTTTACTTACCAACCAAATTTCCAAAAAGTGATATAGTATCTATCACATCGAATCTTACGATACGTGTATGAAACATTAAATATAGACAAAAAAAAAACTAATTACACAGTTTGGTTGAAAATTGCGAGACGAACGTTTTGAGCCTAATTAGTCCATGATTAAACACTAATTGTCAAATAAAAACAAAAATGCTATAGTAGCCAAATTTCCAAATTTCAGCCAACTAAACACGTGCTAGCAGTTAGAAAAAATTATAATATAATTATGATATTAGCACTAAAAATTAGCAGCTAAAATTAGTACTAATTGATCCAAAGTTTCAAATAGATCTACTAATAAACTTGCTAATTATTAGCTATAGAGCTGCTAGCTATTAGTTCCATTAGTAGGTTTTAAATTGCTAAAGTCACTCACAGTGTAGAAACTATCATAGTATCTATGTGCATTAATTATCTTGCCACCTAAGTATTTTACTAATGTGGCATGCGATTTATTAAGAAGAAAGAAGGAAATTGTTTCTTAATAAGAAACCATGTCTACACGAGATCCAAGACACGAAGAGATATCACTACTACACACACCTTTTACAACCACGTCGTAACCCACATCGCAGTCCAATTTTGACCTCGGCAGTAAGCTATCGACATTGATGGTCATAGCTTTCACCGTCGGCATCTGGGACCGACTGCGGTGTACACTAATATCGTCGATTGGCTTATGATCCATCCATGATTAGGTCCTTACTTTAGTCGCATTGGAGCATGACCCATGTATAGATGTACACTAACACCGCCGTCTTGGCAAGTGATCCGATTGTGTTGAGGCTATTAGAATCGTCGTGTGGGCACATCAACTATGGTCCAGTTTAGTTGCAAAAAATTTTACAAAATTTTTCAAGATTCTCCGTCACATCGAATCTTTGGACGCATGCATGAAGTATTAAATATAAATAAAAAATAAAACTAATTACACAGTTTAGACGAAATCCACGAGACGAATCTTTTAAGCCTAATTAGACTATGATTGGACACTAATTGTCAAATAACAACGAAAACTGCTACAGTGCCATTTTGTCAAAATTTTTGACATCTAAACAAGGCCTATATGTGTAGTGGTCACCAGCACCGTCGCATTATACGTCGACCCGACTGTCAGCGGTGCGGGTTCACTGTCGGTTCGACGGCCGAGATGCCTGTGTAGAGGTTAACACCACTGTCGCTTTAGCGTATAATCCACCAGTACAAAGGTCATGGTCACCGTCGCCTTGCACCATGATCCGCCTTCAATGATCGTTTAGTCGGTGTCGGGTTACTAAAGGATTCGGCGGTGATATACTTTTGATCCCTGCCGCATCATACGTATAGCGACGGTGATAGAATTTTATCTAGTTTCACAATAGTTACTAATTCAACTGGACCCTTAGTAGCTTCATGAACACAAAGCATACAAATATATAATCATTACATCCATAAATCATGTTCACAAACAAGAGTACTTTTTACAATAACAATGGACGCTACCATAACATGTTTCTCAATTGACGTCCTAACACAAGCGGTATATAGAGCATACTAAAGGTACTGATGTATACAGACTTACATTACGAAATGATGTAGCTGTGCTTCTTCTATGTGGCACTCCTGCTTGCAAGGCAAAATGAATATAATTAGTGCATCATTCGGATTGATAGCCAATGCACTATGGAACCCCTCTTATTCATCTCTGATCCACAACCTGAACAAAGCAGCAGAATTAATAATATTGAACATACCATTCCTTTAGTTAACGAACCAAAATTAGCCTATACATATATAAAATGAAAATAACTGCCTACCTGAACAAAGACTGTTGTTGGCATTTCTTAACATCACTCTTAACTAAGTTATCATCCCTAACATGATGCCAAAAATGCGTTGTCGGTAATTATGAGAACACTTGTAAACTATATATATAAGGTATCCGCAAGCGCATAGATAATTTACCATTGTAGTATTTCATCCGGGAGTATACCGAATATTGTTATTTATATTTTATCCACAGGGAGGAGCTATGGGGTTGTGTTGGCATAGAGATATTGACAAATATGTATACTTATGATAAAAAACCACTCTCATGCTATGGCAGGGGTAAGTCAAGTGATAAATAAATGATAAGTGTAAGGTAATAATGGTATTCTAGAGATAGAAATAGATACTCATAAAATATAGTAAGGCTAAGCAGGAGATTTGTTAAGAGCAAAAGATTCCTAAGTCATTATTTATCTACTAAGTCTTTTGTACACCCAAGTATATACACTTTTATCTATAGTATAACTAACTTTAGATCTATGCATAAGGAATATTACTAAGGAAGATTAAGAACAGAACTTGTCTTCCTTCGCAATCACGTTCTACGTGCTCTACAAACGGGGAGTGGACTACAAAGGACTCAATGGGAGTGTCATATCCGCGATCTACCACATGACACAGAGTGCAGAATACATCCGTAGGCAAATAATATCTAAGCACCATGCTTACATAATGTCGACCATTTAACTCTCTCGAGAACTGAGCTAAGATCTTTGTGAACATATGCATATATTCATCATCAATCATAACTATATCAAGCATATTACTAGAGAAAACTAGGAATATATTCATCATCATTGATCATCTTTTGCAGAGGTGGCATGTGGCGCGATCGGACGCACCGGCCCTGCATCAGGTGGGGTATGACGTACGGTGATGTCAACATCGAGGGCGCGCACAGAGAAGCAGTGCGAGGATCGAACACTGGGGCGCGTCAGGTCACCGTTGACCTGACGCTTCCGGTCACAAATATCACGCTCTGGGAGCTTACTGGAAATGATCGGACGCTGAGGGTTGAGCGTCAGGTGGCGGCCAACGGTCAATTTTGAATCACATGATGTGGTGAGTGCTGAGTGGCTCGGGGGACCAACCGGACGCTGGACTCGTGCATCCGGTCAACGTGACCGGCGCGTCCGGTCATCTCACAAAAAACCCCTCCATGACTCTAACGGCTCTATTCGTTTGGGGAGGTCTATCAATAGTTGGGGGTCAGCTCCAAGGTGTTTCTCTTGCCCATTTGATATCTTTGACATCCTTGTGAGCTGAGCATACTCTCTCCCACTCATCTCTCTTGCTTGATTGCTAATTCAAAGAGAGATTGAGTGATTCCAAGTGCATTTGCTTGAGTGATTGCATCTAGTGGCACTTGGGGATCGTTGTGGCTACGGATTTCTTGTTACTCTTGGTGGTTGCTGCCACCTAGATGGCTTAGAGCAGCGGAGGAGCTTTGACATGTGTTGGTGATTGTTCATGGCCGGCTCCGGTGATTGTGAGGGGTCTTGCACCTTCCTTGGCGAAGCGCCGCAAGGTAGCTTTAGTAAATTGCTCGTGTCATTTAGTTACCTCACTTGTGGGTAGGTTCTTGCGGTGTCCAATTATGTGGACGAGGTTCGTGCAACACCTCTTAGCCGCCGAACCATCAAGTGTTGGTTGACACAACGGGGACTAACATGCTGGCAAGCACGTGAACCTCGGGAGAAAAATTGGTTGTCTCTTGCCCTTTGGTATTCTCCCGGTGATTGAATTGGCTTTGATATTGTGATTGGTTCATCCCTCGATGCGGCAGTATAATCACCTTGCTCACTCCTTTACATTCTGGCAAACTAGTTCTAGTGGAGCTCTTTAGTGTAGCAAGGTTAAGAGCTCTTAGTGAGAAGCAACATAGCCTCTTATGTGCCTAGTGATCATAGCTACTAGAATTGTTGGATAGGTGGCTTACAACCCTTGTAGAGCTAGAGCAAGTTTGCATTTCGCTATTTGTCATACTAATCAAATCGCTCTAGTGATCTTATAGATTTTTGAATAGGCTATTCACCCTCCCTCTAGCCATATTAGGACCTTTCAGTTGGGTCAAAACCTAAGCGAGCCGGACGAACAGAACGAATGCTACACGACAGTACATGCCATTTGTGGGTCGCCGGATTACAGACAACATAGCGACATAATCTATCAGGCCCAGCACACCAGCAAAGGACGAGGCCGCTGCAACAATCTGAGACTAGGACTTTTTAAGGGAGAAGGGAAAGAAGGACAAGGAGGACCATTCACCGGTGATTCTGGTGAAGTGGCGATTGCCCTTCCACCAGCTGCCATAGAAGAAGTCAACGATAGTCTGTGAAAGCTTCTTACACTGATAGGAGTCAGAGATGATGCGCCTCTAAGAGCGACAGACACACTTGCAGCAGCACAAGGACTGGGCGAGGAGGTAGCTGAAGATGTCAGCAAGCACATCATCTGAGAGGTTGTCCATTGCGTTCCTCATGTTGCGGGCCTCCTTCATCTGGAAGGACACCACCAGCCGAAGAGATGAGGCCGCCCTGCCGTGGAATTACATCAATAAACATTAGTAAGGAGATAAGTTTTGAGGAGAAGGGACAATGATGCAAGTAAGGCCTTATTACACTTGCCTTTAGATCTAGCAGCGGTGAGCACGAGTGGAAACACCGGTGACAGTAGCAGCTCGTTTGCCGATGGATCTGTGCGGGCAATCCGGCGATGTGCACCAGCACGGAGCAAGGGCTGAGTAGTGTTGATGAGCAGGAGCGGCGATGACGAATATCAGCAATGAGAAAAAGAAAAACTATGTGTGTGTGTGGGGGGGGGTGGGGGGGTGGGGGGTTAGGGAGGGCAGCGGCGGGTGGGGTGGGGGTGGAGGGGGGTTAGGGGGATGTTGGAGTAGGTTGCTTGCTCTCTGCGTAACTTTTATGGCACGTGGGAATCAAACTTTTATCAGTTCCGCACGGGAG